AATTTCTTTAAAAAAAATGAATACATTTGTGAGCAAATACTGTAGTCTTTGATCTGTTAACTTCTAAACACTACAATCTATTTAGTATTTGTTCTCAATTATGGAAGGAATTACTTGTGAACCTAAAATAGGACCAGTTTATATTTTCTTACCTTAATTTTGTTATTGTAAGTTTATTACATATTATGGATTTTTGGGTCTCTTAATTCTACATCTGTATGATTATTAAGCCTTTTCCATTATTATAATAATGGACCATAACAATGTATGTATTGCATTTTATGTAATATAATATTACTATCTACTAAGAATTGTCTTCACTGCCTTTTCTATTGTAGTTCCTCTTTTTTTGTGGTTTTACATGTTTATTGATATCTTTCCCATGTGTTTTTCCAAGAAAATTTGATGGTAATATATATAATTTTTTTTGGTTTTACGAGACAGGGTTTCTCTGTATTGTTTTGGAGGCTGTCGGTCCAGCCTGGCCTCGAACTCACAGAGATCTGCCTGCCTCTGCTTCCCGAGTGCTGGGATTAAAGGCGTGCGCCACCACCACCTGGCTTGATGGTAATATTTTTAAGTTCTTAACAAAGTTCTATGTGTGATTCTACTTCCATCATCTCAGAATCAAAAGCAAAGAAGTAGCAATCAGTAACTAGCTTTTGCTTTTAGGATTGCTCCGTACAGAATCTGGCATCTTATTATACTTTGCCCTTTAGAGATCTTTCCACCCATACAAGAGGAATATGTGCTCTCACTTTTCAAGTCAGGGCATGGTCTAGTCAGGAAGTTCAGAGGAACCAACCCCTGAGAACAAAGCTGCCCCATAACAAAATTGTGTATCAGTTGCAAGTGCATTCCAGTTGCTCCTGGAGATCTGAGAGGTCCCAGGAGGGAGGAGTTGTCAGTGTGGTTCTAGTTAATTTCTCCTGGAATGTGGTTAATACAGGTGCAACTAAACTGTACCCACATCGTGTGCTCCACTTTTATGCTCCAGTGCAAGCAATTCTTTCAGGATCAAATAACTTTTATAGGAAGAAGCACTTCCAATAAATCACAAACCTGGTTTTGTCCATTTTTTTCAAAATTTAAAGAATTGTAAGCAAATGATTTACATTTGGTGAGAAGCATACATCCAGAAAGCATGTAAAATATTTCTGCTATAAACCTTTATAAAGGTGGCTATAAGTCATTTAAAATGTTTGCAGGAAGCAATGACTAATAGTTTGACCGTTAAATTATAAAAAACAAAACACTCAATCCCATGATTCTCTATCAAATCTTCAGAATAAAGCTACCCTAATAAATATTTAGGAATAGATAGATAGATAGATAGATAGATAGATAGATAGATAGATAGATAGATAGATAGATATCTGTCTTAGGGTTTTCATTGCTCTGAAGAGACACTATGACCATGGCAACTCTTATAAAGAAAACATTTAATTGGGGAGGCTTGCTTACAATTTCAGAGGTTCAGTTCATTATTATTATGGCAGGGAGCATGGCAACATGCAGACAGACACGGTGCTGGAGCTGAGACTGCTACATCTTGCAGGCAAAGGGAAGTCGACAAAGACACTGGGCGATATCCTGAGCATAGGAAACCTCAGAGACCATTCCCACAGAGACACACTTCCTCCAACAAAGCCATACCAACTCCAATAAGACACACCTCCTAATATTGTCACTCCACATGAGGTTAAGGGGGCCAGTTACAATCAAACTATGACAATATCCACATATATACTTATAAGCATATATATATACATATACATGTATCTGTGTAACAAGAATTAGTGAAAAGAGAAAATGTGCATTTGAAATAGAGTATATGGAAAGATTTAGAGGGAGGAAATATTAATGTAATTATAATGAAATTTCAAAAATAAAAAGTTAAAATTTATTTTTAAAAGAATGATTATTATAAGAAAAATAAAAGCACCTTTAGGGTCACTGGCCTAAGACTCTCAGTTTTCTTTCATTTAACCTAAAATATGAACTCCAAAATAATTACACAAAGGTTTCAAACTACTTCACAACATGAAGTCAATCTAAGAAGCTTATAAAATTTCACCCAGAGTGATAGAATCAAATTCCACCTGCCTTCTTATCCACAGAGTGATGGCTGCATATACTTTATATAATAAGCTTCGCAAGATGCTCAGTATCTACTGCCTTCATGTGATCCTAACAGCAAAAGGAGAAAAAGGTCATCCCCATCCCGCCTAATGCAGTTCCCAACAAGGAAGATCTAGATGCTGGTGGTTGCTTTTTTTGTTGGTTTGATTTTGTTTTGTAAAATCTATTTTAAGTGATGTTCAAAATCCTTTCCTAATTGACAAACCCAATGATATCTTTTGAGTCTTCTCAGCATCATTTGCAAATCTCTTGATTTCCCCCACTTCCATTCCTCCCCATTTCCTCGGCAGCCAATAGCAGCTCCTTCTCAGCCCCCTTGACACTGTACTTTCCATTTGTAATGTTCTAAGCACATCTTTATCTTCCCCAAATTTCTCCTGGCTCCCTGGGTTTTCTTAGTCTCTGGAAGTTTCACCTACCAGGTCTCTGCTGATGACTCACATGCTCAACCCCTCCTATATCACCTGATTCTAATGAAGTCTTCTTTATTCTTTCTACATTTTATAACTTGGGGAATGCAGTCTCCATAGTCTCTCATTTTTTACACTCTCCACTGCCACCAGCACCCTGATGTTGCCTTTTCTCCAATCGAATTTCATAAGCTACATTCAGAACTTAGGTCATATCTTCATTGACCAGACTACTATTGTCTTGTATCTTATACTTAAGTCCATCTTCACTCTGCCACTGGAAAACACTTTCTAGGCACACAATTATATAATATTCTGACTTACAGACACATATGGCCTCCATTGGCCTAAATGTAGAGATCAACAAAATATAACTTGTGAATCAAATCCAGCCCATTGTTAAGCTCTTTTTTTTCCTTCAAATAAAGTCTAACTGAAACACAGCCATGCTCATTCACTGTCTATAGTTGGTCACATGATACAGTAACAGAGTTGTTTTGTTTTTAGCAAAATTCACATGGTCCCAAGACCACAAGCATATTTACTATCTGGTGATTCATAGAAAAAGACTGCTGTCTAGCCTAGTAGGTAAGGCTAAACTCATGATATGGCATGAATGATCTCCTTCTTTGGACATTATCTCTGTTTGTGGACCCAGATCTTGCCAAATATTTAACCTCTCCTGTACTGTTTGCAGGTTCCTGACACTGGTCAGTAGAGATTTCTCCCCTAATGAAAGATCATGTGTCTATGCTACCACTGCATACATGTGGCCACTGAGGTCATGTGTCTCCTCTGTCACCCCTTCCACTGCATACATGTGGCTACTGATTTAAAATGTGCCTAGCACAGCCAAGGAACTGAAATGTTTTATTGCAATAAATTTTAATTAACACGAATTTAAACTTAAAGCCACAAGTAGCTAGGGGCTACCACATGGGTAGTATTTGAAAGACTGTATCACTGTGCTAGTTCATTTTCATTGTTACTGTGGCTGAATCTGGAGTCACCTAGGAGACACACTTATGGGCATGTCTATGAGAATATTTCTAGAGAGGTGTAACTAAGGAGGAAGTACCCATGTTAAACATGGGTGGCACTGTACCACAGGATGGAGATCCAGGCTGAAAAAAAATAGGAAAGGAAAAAGGAAAGGGAGAAAATTCAGAGAGCAGCTACACTATTCATCTTGTTCTGTTTCCTGGCAGTGGAGGGACTGTCAGTAACCACCATCTGGTCCAGAGGCAAAGACTTGTTTGTCATAATAGACTGCATTCCTCACAGCATGAGCCACAACAAATCCTTTGTCCCTTGAGTTACTTGTTACCAGATACTTGGTCACAGAAATAAGAAACTAACTAATCCAGTTGCCAAGGATACCTTTGTTTATAGTTAATTCATTCAGTGGTTCTTTTTCTTCTGGTAAACCCATTACAGCAGTCAATGGTCTCTGGGATTCATCTTGTTTTGTAGATGTTCGCTTGTTTGTGGTGTGAGCAGATCCAGGGCCCAGGCAAATTCTAGACCACTGAGCCCAGTGTCCATTTTCCAAAGGCTCTACTGCTGAAGCCTGGTCTATTACTAAACACCTTAGAAGACAGATCCTCAGCCAACTTGTATCTAACTCAAAGACCCCTGGCCCAGCTCTAATATGTCAGGAGGTAATCAACATTGATTTGGGTGAAGTAGGTTCATCAATGCTACACTCAACTTTTTTTTTCTCTAACATATAAATCTCTTCCCTTCATTCATAAGTCTTGGACAAATTCAGCATACAAAAAAAAAAACACCCAGCCTAGTACCAACCATATACCCATGTCCCTCTGAAACATGAATACATTCATATTTCTCTCTCTCTCTCTCTCTCTCTCTCTCTCTCTCTCTCTCTCTCTCTCTCTCTCTCTCTCTCTCTCTCTCTCTCTCTCTCTCTCTCTCTCTCTCTCTCTCCCTCTCTTTCTCTCTCTCTCTATTCCTATTAATTGTTTACTACCCATTTGGAAAAAAATCCCTCAGGCAACCTAAGCCTGAGTTCACTTTAAGATGTAGAGTTAAAAATGCTGCATTCAACTAAAAGTCAAGAAGCTGTTCTACCAATATGTTCAACCTCTAGAAAATCAGTTTATTCTTCCTTTTTTGAGGACATCCGAGCTATGTGTTGTCTAAATGATCCTTAAGCCACTCTGCATTTAGTATAACTTAATGTTTTATATTGTCTACACTGAGGACAGACAGAAAGTTTCCAGGCAGCCTTTAAAAACAGCCAACCTTGGGAGACTTATCCCCTTAGAAGGAGGAGGCAAGAAATTTACATAGTAGTCTTGAGAAGGTTCAAGGACTAGCCTAGTGAGGTAGATTTCAGAGTTGGCTGGGAATCTATAACTACATGTGTTCATGGCATAAGTATCAAAGTAAATCCTCTATGTGTTTCCTTTGTGAAGTTCCACTTACAAGGTTGGCATATCCAGAGCGCTGTGTCCATATGGAATAAGATGTCTGAAAGGTGACTCAGTGTGTGATGCTTCTCACTCTCTCAGCACCAACAGCACCTAAGTTGTTGAGATAAAACCAGATGGTTATTATGCATGCCAAATGCCTTATATGCCTTATATTGTATTCATATACTAATAGCTCATCTTTTTGAGAACAAGGAATGTAGGAAAATAATAAAATAATGGTGGACTCTGTGCATTCAACGGACCCTCACACTGAGTTCTGGCATGGCTGGGGACAGCCACCAGGCCTGTTGTGAGTCTCAAGTCTGCGTTTTGCTACTTGCTGTGCCTGGAGTGAACCATGTCATGCCAGTATGTCTAGTTCCCACTCTGTAAGAGCAGACTGATGATAGCCTCTGCCTTTGCAAATATGTATGCACATCCACGACCCAAAATGGCAGGAGAGTGTTCAGTGATGGGCCCCTTTCCTGGAATATTTGCTATTTTGTGTTTCTTCCATTGTTTCAAACATTAGTGCAAATGTGTTTAAAATCTCAAAGCAAAGTCACCTTGAAAGGATTCTAGTACCTCTGAAATAGTTTTAAGGGACTCAACTTCCTGTTTTCAAACAAGCAGCCAACTTCTGACACTACATGGAAGTGTCTGGGATTTTGCTGGGGCTTTAGGTGGTTTTTACTTTTTGGCTCTTTCACTCTTTGTTCTTTTGGGGAGCCCACCACCCAGCTCCCAAATAAATCACACATAGAGGCTTGTTTATAAATGCCTGACCTTAGCTTGGCTTGTTTCTAGCCAGCTTTTCTTAAATTATCCCATCTATCATTTGCCTCTGAGCTTCTCTCTTTCTCTATTCTTTTCTTTCTTACTTACTTCATTGATGGTTGTGTAGTAGGGTGACTGGCCCCTGATGTCCTCCTCTCCTTTTTTCTCTCCTTGATCTTTTTCTCTTACTGTGTGTCAGTCTGCCTACCCTTTCTCCTGTCTTGCTTTTGGCCATTCAGTTTTTTAGGCCAGTCAGGTGTTTTAAGCAGATAAAATAACACAGCTTCACAGAGTTAAACAAATGCAATATAAAAGAATGCAACACATCTTTACATCGTTAAACAAATGTTCCACAGCATAAACAAATGTAATGCATCTTAAAATAATATTGTACAACATGGGGCTATAACATCAGTGAGTAAGCTCTGAGGCTGAGGGGACAGATAGCACAATGGAGGGTTTCTATTTGACTCCCACCCTGGGAGAGTAGTCAAAAAGTAGAGAGTCCCTTAAAGAGGGTTCCTCTTTTGTCTTGATACAACTGAGCAGCCAAAGAGGCTTGCTGTGACTTCTTCAAAGCTACCGGACCATATTCCCAAGACATGTAAACAGGGAAAGAGGATTTCTGGAAAAATGGAAAAGAAAAAAAGCTCAAAACCAAGAAAACTAATTTTTCCAGTGGGGCAAATGTTCAAGTGTTTACAAGTACCGTGCAAAATCCTGGAAACACAGTGTGCGGCTGGCAACAGCAGATGCTCAGGAATTGTTTGCTAAATCAAAGTGCTAGCACTAAGTCCAGATGTGTTTATTTCACTCTATAACATTTTGATGAAATACCACCATTGAAATATAAAGATAATGCATATATATATATATGCACTGGATGCTGTTCCAGAGGACCTCCTTTCAATTCTCAGCACCTATGCAGAAGCTCACAACCATCTGTAATTCCTGATGTCCTCTTCCAGCCTCCACAGGCACCGACACAGTCATACATGCAGGCATGCAGAACACATACACACCAAATAAAACATTACCTTGTGAAAGAAAGTTGGGGCTTCGAACCTCCCCCTTCGCATCAAAGCCCCGTCTGGTTGCCTCTGGTCCACTCCTGAATTGGGGTTGTCTCAGTTTCCTCCCCCATGCTGCCTGTCCACCCCACATGGAGGTATATTGATTTACTGTTTCCTTCTGGACCAGGCATGGGGCAAATGAAACAAAAGCACCTACCGAGCAATCGCTCTCGCTCGCTCTCTCTCTCTCTCTCTCTCTCTCTCTGAGTCTAGTGGCTGTAAAGTTCTAAAGAAACCCAGAGCAGAAACAAACACCCTAGATTAGCCTATTGTAGGAGCCTCATTAACTTATGACACTGTCTACTGCTCAAAAGACCCCACTCTTCAATGCCTCTGAACCTATCAACCAAGTGCTTCTCTTTGGGTTTCCCTCAGCAGGTCTCCTTCCCCCACTTCAGTCTCTGGGAACTGTTTAGATCATGTGGGACAATAGGGAGTCCTCAGTTGAGCCTGTTTCACAACCCACAAGAATAAACCATCAACCAACTGTTGCCTCATTCTCAGGAACAGTTAAACTATTATGTTCAGCATCTATTTCACCTCACCCTCCCAAATATATGTCCCCATTCACAAGAAGACTGACAGATGCTTGTTGACTGTCCCTTTACCCAAGAAATTAACTGTGTGTGTGTGTGTGTGTGTGTGTGTGTGTGTGTGTGTGTGTGTATCACTATGGTCTCTATACACATTAGGGACATGCTCCCACTTCCCTCTATCTCTTGGTCTGTCTCTCAAACACACTTTTTAAAATACCATTACAAAACACGTATCTTCTATGATTAAATTTCTACTCTAGCATTTCACAAAATTTCAAAAAAAATGAAATAGATCAAAACTTTGAAGCTACCTAAGAGAACTAAGAGGACTTAACTTGAGAAGATAGGAACAATGAAGTGATGCCCGTTTCTGGAATATAAAACAACACATATAGGGCTCTGAGACTTCGCTGTCAGGATAACAGGGAAATGGAAATGTAGGAGGTTGGGGATAGGTGGGTCATCAGAGGGAAAGTACAAGGAGTTCTTGTCCCTGATAAAACTCCCACTGGGGCTTTATTGAACCTCAAATAATAAATAAATTCTCGGAACAAATGGTTGTAAACTGAAGCCATCCAGCAGAAAGAAAAGTGTTCACTGTAGCAGAAAGAATCCAGATAAACCAAACCCTAAGCCTCCTTCTCCTTGACCTGATCTTCAGATAGGGTGTGGTCTGTATCCTATGCCACATCAACAATGGCTCCTAAGTGTTATGCAAAAGCAGAATCAGTTTGGCCACTCCCATTTTGGGGGACACAGAGACACCTTTAGATATGAGAACACAGGAAATAGGGTAGAACTCCACTGCCCAAACCCAACATGAGCTCACTTCCCTACAGTTTTTCCAACAATCTCTCACTCCAGGTTTTAAGAGAAAAAGAATTTTACAACTTTAAAAATATTGAAATAAATAAAAACTTTTAGAGTACCTAAGAGAGCTGGGTCCTTAAATGTATAACACAGAGGAAAGCTAGCTTAGCCAGAAAATAGGCTGTAAGTGTGAGTTCTTACCTCTCAGCCTGCTCTTGCCAATAGACACTATGTTGTAAGTTTCCATTTGATTTCCCTGAAATAATAGACTGTAACCTAAGAATTATAAACAAAAATAAGCCCCTAGACTTACATTGTTTTTGGTCAGAATTTTTAAAGACAGTAGCAGAAATTATACTCTGATCGTAGGGAAAATAATATGGGCTAAGGGAGTGCGTTTCCAGAGGCATGGATTGGTATTGAAGTTTATGCCTCCTTCTGTCTCACCCATATCACAGAGTTACACATCTTGGAGACCCTAGGTGGTAATACTTCCTTGAGAGTGATTCAGTGGTAACCCAAAGCCCATGAACAAGCTGAGCAGTCAGCCAAGACCATAGTGGGTGGAGGAATGCTCAGCGTGTTCTAACCACCAAAAATGAAAAAAAAAAGTTTGCTACACATTCAGAAGGGCTGTGGTTCAGAATCTAGCTGTCAACTTAGAGGAAGTGGACATGAGCTCCCAGTCCTAAGTAATGAATAATCTATAATTGACACCCACTGGAAAAGGAAAATTAGTTTTTCCCAATGGAGTCTCACTGGGTATATCAAGCACACTTCAGGGCATACCCTGTACCACGGAGGAGTTGACCAACACAATACAAACTCAATTGTATTTTATAGAGTTTTTGTGTCCTTTCGCTTTGTTTGGGCTTTTTTTTTCTTAATAGTCTTTTGCTGTACATTTTGATTTCTGTTTTGTGTGTGTCTATGTGTGTGCTTCTTGTTTATGTATGTTCTTTAAAGACAGACAGAAGGGGGAGTGGCATACACCTTTAATTCCAGAACTCGGGAGGAAGAGATAGGGGGAATCTCTGGGAATTCAAGACCAATTTGGTCTACAGAGTGAGTTCCAGGATAGTCGGAACTACGTGGAGAAACCCTGCCTCAAAAACAAACAAAAAACCCAAACCAGATAGATAGATAGATAGATAGATAGATAGATAGATAGATAGATAGGTAGATTAAAGAGAGTGAAAAAGAACATAAAATTGGATGAGTATGAAGATGGGAGGATCTGGGGAGGAATTGAGGGAAGGGAAAAAACAAATTGAAGGAATATATTGTACAGAAAACTTTATCTTTTTAATTAACAAGACTATCTGTCAAAGCAAAGGTAAATAAGGCAGGTACTCCTGCTCTGATATCTTTGCTGTGGACTTAATAAACTTCCCAAACTATCTTACATTCCAACACTCAGTCTCTGGACAGACGTGGTGTCGATCTAATGGTGTCTTTGCAGACATGACCTGCCCATGGGAGTCAGAACTCTAGTTTTCCTCTTCATACACCCCAGTAACAGTTCCTTCTTTGACTATAGATTCCTCATTGTCCTTGTGCAGTGTTTGTTCACACAATAGCTGCTCATACTGTCCGTCCCTGGCAGGCAAATGAGTTAGCACACTGCTGTAAACACATGAATCCACCTTAGGCAAATAGTTAGATCTTTGTTCAATTCCAGCTAGATGGTGATTTCCTTCTAGAGGGAATTTCTAAAGACAGTCTCAAAAATATTCAGGTCAGGGGTTGTAGCTCAGGGATACAGCACTTGCCTGATATCCATGAAGCCCTGGGTTTGATTTCCTGTGTTGCAAAACGTTCACCTGACAATGTAAAGCATTTCCCCTCTCAAGTTTCATTATTACATTCCCCACAGTACTTTCATAGATACATATATGCATATATACACATCTATTTTTATATATGATGCATACAGTGCACACATGCCTATACGTGTATGACTTCACAATAAATATTACTTAGATTTAAAAAGCTATTTTGTGTGTGTGTGTGTGTGTGTGTGTGTGTGTGTGTGTGTGCTGAGATGCCCACAAAAACCAGAAGCCACTAGATTCCCTCAGAACTGGAGCTATATGTAGTCATAAGCTACCTGATAGAGATGCTGAGAAATAAACCTGGGTCTTCTGCAAGGGTAATATGTACTATTAACCACTGATCAATCTCTCCATTCCCTTCCCTTATCTTTTAATTATAAGTCCTGGATTTGATTTCCTGCATGGCAAAAAGTTCACCTGACAATGTAAAGCATTTTCCCCTCTCAAGTTCTATTATTACATTCCCCACAGTACTTTCATAGATACATACATGCATATATATACATACATATATGCATACACATTTTTGCATATGCTGCATACAGTGCATACATACATGTATCTGTATGATTTTACAATAAATACTACTTAAATTTAAAAGGTGTGGGGGCTGGAGAGATGGCTCAGAGGTTAAGAGCACTGACTGTTCTTCCAGAGGTCCTGAGTTCAATTCCCAGCAACCACAGGGTGTCTCACAACCATCTACAATTCAATCTGGTGCCCTCTTCTGGTATGTAGGCAAAACACTGTATATGTAATAAATAAATAAATCTTTTAAAAAAACTTAAAAAGTGTGTGTGTGTGCATGTGTGTGTGTATATGCGTGTGTGTGTGTGTGTGTGTGTGTGTGTGTGTGTGTGTTGAGATGCCCACAGTGGTCAGAAGCTAGATTCCCTCAGAACTGGAGTTATATGTAGTTGTAAGCTACCTAATGTAGATGCTGGGAAATAAACCTGCATCTTCTGCGAGAGTAATACATACTATTAACCACTAAGCATTCTCTCCGTTCCCTTATCTTTTAATTATAAGACATAATATTAAATTTTCTACCTTACCAGTTTTTAAGAAAGCAGTTCAACGTCCTTAAGTATCTATACATGGCTTCCTTCACTGTTCATTTTTATCTTTTGATGTTAGGGCAACAAATCTTCCTAAGTCTGGATTACATCAGTCAAGATAGCAGTTAGCCCTCCAATATCTGTAAAATTTTTCAAAGTCAGAATGTTTCTATATATTTGTTTAGGATGATGATGATAAATAATCCTATAGACTTAAAGCCAAGATTAAAGATAGGTTCATACCCACCAATTAATCCGCATCCTCTGAAAGGTATTTAGCCAAATAAATTGCTTATATTCCACTGTGGATACAGATGACCTCTGTGCCCAAGAAAACCCCCATCTTTTTCTTATTTGTTCTAACTTTTTTCTGTGCTGTTTATTTCCATGAATATTTCATATTCACAGGCACTGAAACATTTAAAACTGAACCTGCTCATAACCTATCATTACTGTCTTGTTCTTATTTGTTTCGTTTCTTGGCTTCAGTTTTGCTTTCAGGACAGGATCACATGAAGCTTCCCTCACACTTGTCACATAGTCCAGGCTGGCCACACAGTTTAGACTGGAATGTAGACCAGGCTGGCCTTGGATTTCTGATCCTCCTGCTCCTACTTTCCAATTGCTGAGCTTACCAGTGTGTGCCACACACCCGGCACCTGTCACATCTAAAAGTACAAGTCTTGTAATCATTTTAATGATTTGTCTTTCTTTATGTTCAGTCTGGTAACTTAGCGACTGCCAGAATGCCTGGCCATACCACACAGGAAATAATGGTCTGACTCATGAGTTGACCAAAAAGAAGCTACTTGTATCTGGGAGCATTTGCTTGTTGGAAGCACAGTGTTCTCTAAGGTCTTACTGGATCAAGATCTATATTCCTCTTAACCCTTAGTCACATGGGTTTGTGAGTTCAGGTAGAATCCATTCTTCCTTCAGTTGCAGGAGTAAAAATGATTTATTTTTGTTGTTGTTATTTTGTTGTTGTTGTTGTTGAGACAGGATTTCTCTGTGTAGCTTTGGAACCTGCCCTGGAACTCATGCTGTAGACCAGGCTGGTCTCGAACTCACAGAGATCCATCTGCTTCTGCCTCCTGAGTGCTGAGATTAAAGGCATGCACCACCACCGCCTTTTCGTCTTCACTTCTGCAGTTCTTGTCTTTTAGTCAAGGCCATGTGAGCTCAGCTTACTTTTAGCTAATAACACTTCTTTCCCATCTTCTAATTTGTGAATTAAAAGTTTGCTGTAAAATGGTAGTCCTTTGACTTTTCTATATAGGTCTCTGATTCCTCTGCTATTAAATACTGTCTGCATCTTTTTGTCCAACTGCATTGGGAACTTGTGACTATAAACTCAATCTCTGTAGTGTTTTAGGCTTTACTTTATCTCTATGAACATGAGATCTCGATTTCTGAATTTTCCTCAAAGCACTGTAATTTCTTTGGCCTACATGAGCCACACCACAACATTCCCAAGAGATTCGATGGACATTTCTTTTTTTATTTTGATTTTTTGATTATTTATTTTTAAGTTTAAATTTAGATTAGAAACAAGGTTGCTTCACAAGTCAGTTCCAGGTCCCTCTCCCTTTCCCTCCCCTCCTCCCGTGCCCTCCCTCAACCCCCCTCCATATCCCCTCATTTCCCCAGGGAGGGTGAGGCCCTCCATGGGGGTGTCCAGAGTCTGTCATTTCATCCAGGAACATTTCTTATCTTGATTATTTTTCTGGCTCTTTCATCAGAGATATGTAGTAGCCTGATATTTCAGTTCATAGATTATTATAATATCAAATATTATATTGTAATATTGTAACATCAAAAAGTTCCAGTGCTTCTTTTGGTTATTAAAACTTTAGAGTCTGGTGTCTCTTCAAAGTATAGAAATCTTCCCCCTCTTTAACGTCGAGAATGCCCAGGGGTTCCTAAGACACATTGGTCTCCTAGCTATTGTCTTCAGATGCATTCTTAGCTTTGAACTAAAGGAAGTTGTATATTAATCTTTTCATCAACCCAAATTTGAGCCTTAATAGCAATCTGAAAGTTTTGACTAATTATACAAGGAACTTTTAAAATCTAGTGGCACACCCAGATTTTCTCTAGTATCTGAGAGTTTTCAATAACAAATGGTTAACATTAGGTTCTAGGCTCCAGAACTGCACTCATTAGCCAACAATGCAGACCCTGGCCACATGCAGCGTTTGAATTTTAAATAATTGAAAGATCTGAATAGAGTGGCATATCCCTGATGTACCTTAATTAGGAGGCAAAGGAGGATAAGATCCCTTGGACCCAGGACTTGAAGACAACACAGCAAGATACTGTCTGAAACACGTTCCTAATTAACTTAAGATTCAGTTCCTCAGTTGCATTAGACACTTATCAGGTGTTCCATGGTGGGCTGTGGTTGTGGCTACCACATTGAACCACACCACTGTAGAACACTTCTATTTTTACCAAAAAAATAATCTGTCCATGATGTTGAACAGCATTGCTCCAAAAGCTTTATCACTGGTTTTGTTGCAAAATGTGTGTTGGATGCCATTTATGGCAGTTGATGTTGTATCTGTTTAATCCTCCTATATGAAGAGTTTATTCATCATTTATAACCTAACACAACACACTTAGTGCCTAACTCGTGCTCAAAAGCTTTTTAACAAGTGTTCACTGGATACAATTGGCACTCCTATATAACTGCCCAGTTATGTGGTGGTGTAACCGGAGTTTAAAAAGTCATCATTAAAGAGGCAGAAAGAAAAGCAAATAGTCCTGAAACAAGTAGTCTACACTTCACAAATTCTGCCAAATGTTAAATGTAAATCTGGGACAAACTCTTGACACCACTCTGTCCCCGATTACACAGCTGCAGATGACAGCTGCATCAAATCAGTCAAGAAGTATTTATTTTTGAAATGTGTGCTGACCCCTTTCTAGCCCCAAAGGGGAAAATGTCATCTTTGTTCATTTCTCAAGAAAACTATTAGAATTCTACACTGGCTACAAAGGCGAAAGTTGTTCCTTGAGGTGTTTACCCTAATTCCCTCTTTAAAGGTGCCGTCCTGTCTCTATTCCCAGTTATAAAGTGAATACAAAATCTATCACCCTCTTTTCTTACAGGAAGTTTAAATTGAATATTGAGTTTGTATTTATGAATTGCCTTTATGGATATCAGAAACTGTAGGGGCTGGAGGGATGGCTCAGTATCATGTTAAGTATGTTAATAGCACATACTGTTCTATACAGAGGACCTGGGTTCAGTCCCCATGGCCACACTATACAGTTCATAACTGCCTGTAACTCCAGCTCTGGGAACTCCGAGGCCTTTAGCCTCTGTGGGCACCTGAATGCATGCATGCACACACACACACACACACACACACACACACAAACAATAAAAACAAATTTTATTTTCCTATGAACCCTTCCTCAGAGTAGGACTATTAGAGTCAGACTTTAAGTCCCACAGGAGGTCATTACCTAAATGGAAATGATTAATAAATACCTGTTTATACATATAAATCAACTAATATTCACAAATAGCTCCTTGACTGGGATTAAGTCTTTTAAGTATCAAGAATCTAGTTTTATTTGATAATTTTAAAATTACATTTATTTGCTTATTTGTTTTGTGTGTGTATGTGTGAGTGCCATGACGCATGTGTAAGGTCAGAGACCCTGTAGGATTTGGATTCTCTCCTTCTACATTGTGGATCCTGAGATGCAACTTGGGGCACCAGGCTCAGCAGCCAGTGCCTTTACCTTCTGAGTCATCTTACTGGTTCACTGACAATATTTAAATAAAGAAATACATACCCCTAGGAACAACATAAGCACAAGGAGTGACTTTTGCTGAGATTCCTTATCTTTCCATATAAAATCACAGTAGCTGGCATGACACTGATGCGATGGGCAATGGAACCAAAGGGAAGACGCTGGTCACAGACATGGAAGTAAGCCTCTGGAGTCCATAGATGGTTCACATGAAGACCAACCGCAGGCAACAGGAAACCTCATGCATCCTAGAAAGCCATGGACTTACATCAACCGGAGCAGGGCCAAGGCAGCACTGATTCAAGTGAAGTTCAAGACTATTGGGAATTGCCTACTGCCTCTTTATGAGGTCCAGAATGCTTATGCAATAATGCTAAAGGGTCACTTTCCTTCTGGATTCTCATTCTCAAGAATGTTCAGTGCTTTTTCCAGAGACTACATGACCATGTGAAAAAGCAAGTTAAGATATCCTTCCATTTTCCAACAACATGTCTGTGTGAGGCCATTATCTTCAAATACATCATCAGAAACAATGTCAGGACAGATTAAATGCTGAGCAAACATGAGGACACAGCTGCTTTCTGTCATGCCAGACATTAAAGACATTTACAAAACTGTAAAACAAAGTGTGTTTAGGGGAAATCAGTTTTCATAAAAGTGATAGTCTTATTACTATTTAATGATTTGTTATTTTAAATGGATTAATAACAAACAAATGTTCTCAGAGATTACCAGTATCATTAGCAAGTTCTTTGGGGTCCTCCAGTAAGTTTTAAGTATTCAGTGCCAAGCTGAGACCAGTTTAAGATGGCTCTCCAACGTGAAATGTACAAACATGAGGTAACTAGCCTTCCAAACAATAGTTAACTGAAGGAGGGGAAAAGCAGAGATAACTGTTTCTCGGATGGCCAGATGCTGTTAGGGATGTAACCGTGCTTTTTCATCCAGTCAACTAACTACTCACAGCTTTATTGATGGCTACATCTAAGTCTTACATTTTTTCCCTCATAAACCAAACCATTCCTTTGCTTGGCCAAATATTTACTGGCTCCTTTCAGTTGCATGCACACTGTTTTTGTTTAAAAAAAAATAGTTACTTTACGATCCTGTGTTTACAATAGTTTTAAATGAGGAATTAATTTTAATTTGAAAAGACAGCTGGAACTATTAGCAGCCTGAGCTGAGGCTGGCTATGTGGAAATGTCATATGAGTAGTGTGTGTGTGTGTGTGTGTGTGTGTATGCGAATGTGTGAGTGTGTGTATGTGTGAATGTGTGGATGAGTGTGTGTATGTGAGTGTGAGTGTGTGTGTGTGGGTTATTGCAAGGAGCATGAGTAACCTGCTTAAGTCAGCTCTGTCTCAGCCTCCTGGAAGCCTATTGGTTTTTTACTTTCACATGACTTATATTTTGGGGTTAATGATACCAATAAAATTTACACCAAATCAGTGTTTTAAACATAACAAATGAAAATGATTTTGGTTTCTTGTTTGTTTGTGCTGACGTCTAGGGGTGGAACACAGGGCTTTGTCTAGGTCAAGGAAGTAATCTAATCATTGAGTTACAGCTTTAGCTACTACAGTGTTCATTTTGATCAAATGACTACTAAAGAAAATGGAAGGTGCCTGTGTGCACACGTACGTTCTTTTGAACAGATATCACTCCACCTCCTTCTTTCAGTAACCCTTGCCTATTCAGAGAGAGAGGGGTCATTGTTGTTCATTATTCTCTTATTAATCATTTTCCAAAATGCTCAGGGCCACACACTTGAAAGATAACCTCCTTCCTCTGTGTCCCTAGTTTCCCTTCTGTCTGAGTTAGGGTTACCATCACTGCTCAAGTCTCATCACCATTGTCAAACTCTGCTACTAATTCAGTGACCCTTACCTAGACTCCCCTCAAAAGCCTCATGCACAGGTTAATGTCACAGGGGTCCAGTGACAGAAGTCCAAACCAAAGAGAGAGAGCATCGGAGATGTGCTGACACCATGGGAATGTAGACTTCTCTGTTTCGGTTCCCCCAGAGCTGGCATGGAAGAATTCTGAAACTATTTGTCTCTGGACACTTCCCTATTAACACTTTCTCCCATCGCACCCACCCTACTCATTGTTCAAATAACATTTCAGGCTCCATCACCTTGTAGTGACTTCTTATGCCCACTCTCCTCCCTTGAGGCTTAGAACATATTGTATTCTATGTAATAGATGTTGCACTATGAATTTGTTTTTTTGAAATAACTTTGAACTTCAATCATTTTCCTACAGTTCCCCTTTGTCATACAAAACAGTATACTTGCACTCCCTGGGGTCCAAAGGTGGACATTTTTTGTGGGCAATATTTTGCATGTTTCACTGTAAGATGGCTGTGATCGGTTACATCGGACGTTGCAAAGCAGGGTTGAGAGCAGGGGAGATGGCTAGCAGCCTGAAGCACTTGTCACATAAGCCGGACAGCCTGAGTTTGGATCCTGTGAAACTATATGAAATTCAGATATAGCACTGTTTGTCTGTTATCCCAGCACTGCTACAGCAAGATGGCAGGCAAAGACAAGAGACTTTCTCAGAAACTCACTAGCCAACACCTAATGTTGACCTCTGACCTCCACATTTAGGTTATGGCATGTGTACGACCTAACACATGGACATGTACTCTCACATACACAAAAATAAATGTTTTTTTAGATATCTGAGAGATAATTAGTCCTAATGAATTCTGCTTAGACTCTCTGCAAACTGGTGTACCACCCAGGAGAGTTATTCGTTTCTGTTGTCCTTTCCCTTGGATATAGACAATGGCTAATTTCTCCTCCAGTTTTCTCACTTTGTATGCACTTGTCACCTCTGCACGAACTGGTCCTTCAGAACAGATGGGACTGAACATTATGATGGGTAGCCATGTGTCTGCCTTTCTTCCCCCAAGGAATGGTGTGCCCACAGCCCTGTCCCAGGCTCAGAATCCTTCTGCCTCCTGAGTCTGACCTTAGCAATACTAAAATACTCAGTCTACTATTCCAGAATCTTGAGTCCCTAGACTCTTCAGAGAGTCCAGGCCGTGTGTGCACCCTCACACAGTTACAGAACGCTCTACAGAACATTTTACTCTCATGTGCTTTACAGAGAAAGCTACCTTTAGCTAAAGGTACAAGGAATTATCAGTTGTGGTGCTAAAATTGTATCATATTATATCATTGATTGCAAAGCAATTGCCGGCTGAGGTCAGGCAGGTGACTTTAATTAGAGTACGTAAGCCACACCAGTTCTTCAGACCACTATGGGAGTAGACTCTTCTCAGACAGCCATACATCTGTCTGAATGTGAAAACACTGCAGTCTACATTTCCTTTTTCGATGTTATTGTTGTTCTGTTTTTTTAAGTACAATTATACAGAAAAGTTTAAACAATATTACACAAAATCCCTCATCCTAATCACTTAAATTTGTTCAAATTTTTAACATTTTGACACATCATACATACTTATATAAATTCTTTCCTGAGCCACATAATTTATGTGAAACAATAACTAGTTTCTTAGTGTTTTTTCAGTATGTATCTCATACAAATGATTATTAAACCTTTAAAGCAAAACAATTTTATATTATTTGATTGCTTATCTTGAAATCTCTTCAAGTCCAAACTATTTTACAATCCTTGTTTAATCCTTGTTTTATTTCAAATCAAGATCTAATGAATATTAAAACCTTGCTTTGATTATGTGCCATTAGCATACATTTCCCTTGATGCTTTAAATATACATTTGCTATTATTTGAAATTTTTATAGATGAATACAATGTATCTTGATCATTTCCACCCCTCATTCCACCCTCAGTTTCCCCCAGGACCCTACAGCACATTTCCTTCTCAACTTCACATGCTCATTTTATAATTAATTCATGTATTAATTTAACCCACAGAGTCCAATTAGTACTGCCCAAATGCACATTGATTTTGTGTCTTCCACTAGAGCATGGGGAACCTACCAGTGGCCATACTCTTAAAGAAAGGGGTTTCTTCCTTTTGCAGCAGCCATCAACTGACTGCCAATAGCTTCTCAGCTGGGGCTTCATGAGCTCCTCCTTCTGCCTGCTGGAGTTTTAACTCTCTTGATATCACACAGGTCCTGTGTAGATAACCACAGCTGCTGCAAGTCCAAAGGCAACATTTCACATCACTCCTGCCTTTCTCCGGATCTGTCTATCCCCTCTCCCATGATGGTCCCTGAGCCTTGGAGGAGGGTTTATATAGATGGTTGAGCATTCTTCTGTGGTTGAGCATTCACAGTAGCTTATTCTCACCACTTTGCACAGTAATATATCTTGGCATTAACCACTACCCACTGCAATACATCTATTCTCCGGTCAAGATTGGGAGCAGCACATCTCTATGACTGTAGCATAAATATTTAGATGGCCATAGGACAATATGATCATCTAGAAAAAAACACATCAACACTAGGTGTATTACTTCTTTAGTCAATGGCTTTTGACCATGATTATTGTACAGTCATGAATTCCCTTCAGAGGAGTAGGGCCTCAAGTCCTATCAAGGTAGTGGTTGGTTACCCCTACAGACAGTCTTACTATATTACACCAGTGAGTGTGTCTTGCCTGGAAGATTGGTATTATGACATTCAGGGACTGGCACTCCATGAGATCACTGATATCTTTTCTCTCTCAGAAGCCTACCTAGCAAGCACCTTTCAGCACTGTGAAAGCTAATCAACAGGGAGAGTTTCCTGGTCAGTTCAATTCTTATTTCTCTGGGTCCTGAAACCAAAGTGAGTGGTATCTTCAGCAATAGGATCTTACCATCTAGTTGAGGAGGGCAGTCAAAAGCCATTCTATTGTTCTGGAGTCTCTCTGACCAATAACCATAGGGAGGTAATTCGTGAAGTCCAATGACTACTATTCTAAAGACACAGACAAATTAAGAACCATACCAATGACAATGTCTAACGAAACCAAGACAAAGATGTAACCATATGTTGTAGCAAGTACTCTAATGGGGAAAAGGGAGGCTTGAGTATGAGGTGAAATATGAGCTGAGCTTAGATACAGATGTCAGGCAACCCATGTGAAGACAAGAGTGAGGCAGGTGTGGACATAAGGGAAGAGGGCCCATGTGTGACTACAGATGTGTTCCAAATCAGTGAGAGAAAAACTCACTTGTCTTTGAGGGCTTGGAATACAGTTCAATGGTAGAGTGTTTGCCTAGCATAAGGTCAATAAAAAGAGAGGGGGGGGGAGTCGGGTTACTTTTATCCTGATGGTTGGAATGCTAATGAAATGCTTTAAGCAGACACAATTCATTTATCCCAGGAAGATCTTGATGACAGTCAAGGATCCCATTTGAAGAAGAGCAGTTTAAGGCTTTGTCAGACAGAAAGTGAGAGGGGCAGTGCTCAGTGTGGGAGGAGAGTGCTAAATTCCAAACATCTCTGGGAGGCTTATGGGCTGGGCCAAACTGACAGGAGGTGAGAATGTGAGTCAGAGAAAGGAGGCTAAGGCAGATTGCTACCTCAAGCCTGTGTCACATGTCGCAACTGAACAGAAATTCTTGGGGCACTAAGAGAAAAACTTACCCTGACATATTCACCTGATTAGAAAATTGGGAATAAGAGTCTCAGCAGGGACAGGGGGATCTGACTCATAGAGGACAAGAGACTAATACAGAACACGGTGAGCTGTGGGGGCAGGGCAGGGGCCAAACCATACTGGGCCTCTGGGTGCATACTGCCAGGTAAAGAAACTTGCTAACCAAATCGAAAGGGTGGAGCCAGCAGGAAGGGAGGGAGCATTGTGGTTTTGTTGAAAAGTCATCCCTGTGACCTCTGTGACCTTCAGGATCCCTTTGCCCCACTAAAAAAAGAATCTGGTGAAAACAATTCATCAAGAAGGGAGAAAAATTGTTTCAGTTCTTGAATCGTCTGTTTTAAGCGTTTTCTCTGTTTTAATTTCCTCATACTTCCAACCAAATGCTATAGTACATGTTGTGAAAAGATAAATTCTAGATGAAACAAATTAAAGTTCATGGAGGGATCATAAATCAGATGTTAATCCTCCCATGTAGCCCCCTTCCATTCTCTTTCAAATTCATAGCCTCTTTTTTCCATTGCTGCTACTTGTATATATTTCTAAATATGTAAGTAAAACCTGCTCAGTCTGCATAATGCTACTTATATGTATATATTTCAGGGCTGGCCATTTGGTATTGGATAATTAATTTGTGTTTTCCCTGGGAAAGCCTATTTCTCCTGCTTTCAGCGTTTCATAGTGACCTGCCATTCTTTGTGTAGGGTGTAGGGTGTAGGGTGAGGTCTCACGAGCTTTCTTCTATCCAAGTTGGGTTTTTGTTTCTTCAAAGATTTGAGATTTTTATATATACATACATATATTTCACCATAGAGTCAGAAGAGGGCATCAAGATGCTCTGGAATTGGAGTTATCATAGGCAAATTGTGAGCCACAATGTGGCCACTGAGAACCAAACCCAGATCCTCTTAACCACTGAGCCCTCTCTCCACCCCCAGACCCCTAAGTTTTAAGTCTTGTTCTCTGATGCAAATGTTTTTCCAGGATCTTTAAAAAGCTTTAAACTCCAAAGCTGCCCAGAGAGTTTCCCAGCTTTCTCAGAAGCAAAATAAAGAACAGATTAAAACAATAATCCTGAGGTTAAAAGAAAAGGCCCAAGATGGCAGAGGAGAGCCACTGAATTTTTGTTTTGGGTTTTGTTTTCACACATTACATGGGAGCCAATCGTGCATGGTGTGAGTTATAATGTTTCTCTTTATGCGAAAGTTTTGAGGTAAGGAATAGGAAATGACCACAGAAGTCAAAGAAAATCAGCAGAACCCATACCTGTTCTCTGCTTCCACATAACACACTGTCATCTTCATTACTAGTGGTGGGTCTGGGCATCTTAGAGCCTACCACAGCATTAGAGGGATGTGCTTCTCTGACAAACTGTGATCTGAACACACTTAGCATACAAGCTCTTAACCAACATGCAGATGTCATGCGCTTTCACCGAGACATACATTCATTTGAACATCAACGGCTACACGTTAATCTTGGGAGTGGAAGGGTGTGGCTCGGCTGCCACATCCATGTCTTTCCTGAGCGTTAGAGGAGAACATGGTGCTATCAAACTGCACTCAGATCCCTGGGACAGAGGAGCCCATTGGCCCTGGACCAGATGATTTCATTCTCAAATACATCAGTAGCGACTTTAAATGCAGACACAGTATAACTAGTACAATCACCAGCACCAGATGACCACAGACTTGAAATATGACTGACTTGGCCATTGGTTAACCTATTTGAAGACCCAGGATAGTAACTAACATTTTCAATTGAGTGCAAATGTTACCATTGCTAAAAATGAAACAGCATTAATAAGTTCTACTTCTAATGTAGAAACAGAGGGGCAAGCTTATTGACAGGTAACGGGCGTGAACAGGAATCATTTTCCTGTCAGATGGAATGGGCACGGATTAGAGGCAGAAGAATTTAGCTGAGTAATAAAGAAGGGATATTGATATCCGAAGCAGGCATTTGATCCTGGGAGTGATAATGTTGGGAGTAAAAATGTTCCCTCACTTCCACTATACACCCTCCCAACTCAGTAGCTCCTCTGTATTGACTTGTGGAGTACAATACAGCAGCAGAGGATGGGACAATAATGGTTCAGGTGTCCTACCTCAGAGATAGAGACAGTCATTACTCGCTTAAAGTCACTCCTGTGGGAGTGGGAACCCTGAACACTTAGCAACATGTTCAGAAGTACTGAGGTGTTACCTCAGATTGTGTGGCAGATGGGAGGTCTGATACAGATCTGAGAAAACTTTGAGAGATTTTATTTTTATCCAATTGCAAAGATTTCCCTGTGACTTATCAAAGATTTCACTGGGAAGTAACCACAAAAACAATGAAAACCGTATATAGTATATCAGTTTCTCTCTAAACTTGTCTTGTGTATGGTGTGTGTTCGACATGTACGTATGTTTGTGCATATAGGCACAGGTGAGCACATTCCCTGGCATGCGTGAGGACACCTCTGGTGTTGGATGTCACCGTTCATCTTGTTTGAAATGTGGTCTCTTTTACGATCACCACTGCATACACCAGGCTGACAGGACTAGGAGCTTCCTAGCTTGCCATAGGAATGTTAGGATTGCATACATTGGTGACTGACAGAACTTTGGTTTCACTCTTTTGAATATCACATGGTTGGTGGGAATGTCAGCAGAAGTTTACGGGCTGAACAGACACTTTTCAGTTCCCATCTTTTCCCCCTTCTTGCTCAATATCCTGAGGACGTAATTGAGCTTTTCTGTGTGTGTCAGCCTGGCACAGGGAGGAAGGGGCAGCTCATTCAATTATTCCCCTACACACAGTCCTTCCAGGCATCAGAATATGCCGCTATTTCTTGGAGTTTGCATGCAGGACAGGTACAGCAGCTAAAAGCAAGGGGATCCAAGGCATGGCCCCCAGGAAAAGCCACTAAATGAGCCTATCCACCTTCCTACATTCTTCTGCAGCAACCAGGTAACAAGTATGCCTTTCACATCAGTGTGTGGATTTTTACAGCAGGGAATGATGCCACCTCCAATTCCAACAGGACGGATGGTGTTGGCTGAGTAAGTGAAAGAAAGGCATGTTCTATTGGAAGACAGCACAGGAGATGGACATCAGATGCTAAACCTTAGACTTGTCTTAGCCAGAGGGTGAAAGCAGATAGAAAACACAGCCAGGAACCTGTCTATCCCTAGCTGTGACTTGACGGCCTCTTGCGCCTTGCAAACCTCTAGTCTTGCAACAGAGCCAGAGGCATGGCCCTAATGCTTGCAGAGCTGGGCACCAATGACTTGCCCCATTCTCGCTCTTAACAAATGTGGGTTTGTCCTGCTGGTGGGGTTGGGGGAGCTACATTCAGTTTCCTTCAAACTCTAAGATATGGCATGGCATGGGGTTTCTATGAGATTCCCATACCAACAAAGGAAAGAGGCTGTAGCCAATGACCCTCATTCTCAAAGAAGGCCCTGGCAAACTGGATAGATAATGACTAACAACTACCAGTCAACCAAAGAAGACATTGAGAACGGCTAGTGAGTACAGATTTGGGTTGCAGGCTCTGGTTTTCTTGTACAGCTGCTGCTTTTGAAGAATGTGTTAGGCCTTTTTTCTCCCCCTTTTACTAGAGTTATAGTGGAGTTATTGGAAGAAATTGGACATAGATTCTGCCTCCTATCTGCCGAGTAACTCTGAAAGAGCTATATAATGTCTGTAAGTTTTCTTCTTTAACAAACAGATGTAATGATCATACTGGCCTCATGAGTTTGTTGTGGGGATAAAGTTACATATTGAGTAGTAATATGTAACTTTAAATTATTGCCACTTGTAAGAAATGTATATTGGCACCAGGTGTAGGCTTGCTCATATGGAAAAATAAAAGACTTTCAAAGCCATAGACAGATACAGTTTTTCTCTCCCTGCTAGGAGGGAAACTTATTGAGGAGACACATAGATCAACACGTGCACATACAAGATCAGGCACACACTTCAATGAGTCTAAGGCCCCAAGAAACAAGCCACAAACAACAGGGAAGGGAACAGATGAAGCTGTTCTTTCCAACACAATCCCATCTTTAAAACCTTCTACTCAAGGCAACCATTAGTATCCAGGGCATTGTAGCCAGTCCCAGGAACACCATTTGAGAAAGCTGGATTTTTTTAAAAAGCTGGATATTTTTTAAAAAAGGCTGGCAGTACTTCACTTCCACAGATTGAAGTCATTGTTACCTCCTTGTCATCTCCATCTCTTTAACTCCCATTTGGTTCCTAATCTCTCCCTGCTTCTTCCTGGGAACCAGAAAACCCTGTTGTTTCTTTCTTGCTTCCTCCAGAGTAGTGGTAACCTGAGAAATGCTGGTCTTGAACATTGGCACTGCCTCAAAGAGCTGTTATACTGACATCTAGTGGCCAAAAGACTAAGTGCACAAGATGACCAGGAAGGTCTCAGCAGCTTGGATGCAGTTTTCAGCATCTCACTTGCATCAGAAGTTACCCAAGTGGGGAACTTTGGGGATGTGTCTGAGCCACGCATTTGTCTGAAGTTGTTCCAGGAGATGCCTTGGGGGCAATATTTCTAAGAACAAGAGTACACATATAGAAAACCATGTCTTATTAGAAGGTTTGGGCTCTCTGGCTCCTGCGGTGTGGGTAAGGATTGGGAAGATCCATTTGGTTTGCGTTAGACCATGTGTCGTCTGTGAGTAGTGGGGAAAGGAATAGGGTGTCTGTGCCTCCGTTTCTTAATTGAGTTAAATAGAACTTTGTTTAGGTGATGCCCACAAACCTCCTGGCCCAGACCCAGCAAGAAAGTAATCCACAAATCATCTGCTATCTGTCAGCTGCTGTCAGTACAGCTACCGATACTACAGTGAGGAGGGCAGTGTATGAACAAGGTGGAGATGCAGAATGAGGTCCCGTGCAGCATCAGGACAGGTCCCTCACTCTGCTGCTTTCCTGTAAAACTGTGGGGCATTGAACCGCCCGGTGTTTAAGGCTTTGTTTCTTCCTCAGAAACTGTGATTCTGTGCTAGGCTCACCAGTTTATCTGGTTTGGCTGACAAACCAAATTTTACCTCCTTTCTTGTTGCTAAAGCTTAGGGATATGGTGGTTCTCAATTACTGCACAGTTGCTGAGTACCAGAGGAGCTGCAATAGCCTCTACACAAACCACCAGAACAAGAGAAGTATGCTTCCAGACAGAGCTCAGAATCCATTAGAAAGCTGTAGAAGCCAAAAGATATTTTTGTATCAGAAGCTAGTCTGGGAATTCTCTGGTAATGTGGGATGCCCCAGACTCACTTTGCTGGTGGAGCTCTGCTAACCAACCTAGCTGCAGAAACAGTAAACAAGAAAAGCTATGAGGCTGTATAAGCTCAGCGCATACTTTGTGTGATGGTTAATCCTAACTGTCAACTGGATTGGATTCAGAGTCACCATAGAAACAAGTCTCTGGACATACCCATAAGAGACTGTCTGATTAGGTTAATTAATGCGGGAGGGCCCATTGTGATCTGACAGCCCAGAACACCAAAACAGAGGCAAATTGAGCTGAGCACAAGCATCCATCACTCCTTGCTTCTTGATTGTGGATATAATGTGACCAGATGCCTAATCTCCTGCCTCCATAACTTCTTAGCCATGGTGGACTATACCTTCAAAAGCTGTAAGCCAAAATAAGCTGTTCCTTCTTTTCCTACATTGCTTTTTTTCTTCAGGTATTTTGTTGCCACGATACAGTAACTGACTCTCAGATAACCACCTTGCTTGGGCATGTGTCCTGACAACAGGTCCAAACAGCGTATGACCTTGGTTGGGCAGGTTAAATGCCACCAAGTCCCCTCTGTTTATGACTAATCATCAAACACAGCTGGTTGCCACGTGGGGAGAAAAGGATAGCAGCAAACAGTGATCCTGTAATGTAATCATGAGAGGAACTCTTTCTGCCCTGCTCTCTGAACCGCATCCATGTAAGCACTTCGACTCTCATAGAAATCTAGCACACAGTATTTCAAAAGGAAGCACGTATCTTGGTTTCTAGTGATTTCTGTTCCAAAATACCACAAACTGTGGCTTGTAACAACAGAAGGAAGTCTTAAGTCAGAGTGTCAGACAGAATCAGGTTCTAATGGCTCCGTCCTTCAAGTTGGTCTCCCATCAGGCCAGTCTGGTATTGGAGTCCTCTTGATCAAGGACCTTCTGAAAGCAGTCAGTTTCTACATTCTCCATCCTTCTTAAGAGCTGATGCACCATAACTCCCCAAGATTTGATGTCTAGCTTTGAACCTCTACCAGCATCTTCTACAGATTTGTGGGAGGCTGTCCTCCAGGCATGGGAGCAGCAGGAGAGAGGAAAGGGGGGGGGAAGGGAGAACAGAAAGAGGGGGATATGGGAGGTGGCAGGGACCTTTTAAAAGGGAACATAGTGAATATGCACAGGTGGTGATCTTAGTGGCTGCAGCTAAGGCTGTTTCCTGACAGAACCCCAAGGACAAGTCAGTACAGATGCCTGAATACTAACAGTGTGTGTGTGTATGTGTATGTGTCTGTGTGTGTGTGTGTGTCTGTGTGTGTGTGTGTGTGTGTGTCTGTGTGTGTGTCTGTGTGTGTGTCTCGGTGTCTGTGGTGTGTGTGTGTCTGTGTGTGTGTCTGTCTATGGTGTGTGTGTGTGTGTGTGTGTGTGTGTGTGTGTGTGTGTGTTTGTTTGTTTGAGAGTTTAAGGCTGGTGGAGAATCATAGATTCCTACTCCAGAACTCTTCAACCTTATTCATTGAGTCAATCTTACAATCAAACCCGGAGCTTACCAGTGGGACTTGTCTCGATAGCTAGCTTGCTCTAGGGGTGCCACCTCTGTCTTCCACGGCTGGAACTACAGGCAGCCACCATCTCCATGTAGCCTTTACACAGGTCCTCAGGCTGAGCAGGCACTTTAACCACTGAGGCGTTTGCCCAACCCCACTGACTTAAACTATGTAAGTACACAATTCTGCATCACATACATTCACATTTCGGTGCAGCCCCCACCATCCCTTGAGGAACATTTCATTTTTCCCATCTGAAACTGGGCATCCATTAAGGGTTAACTCCCCATTCCAATCCTCCCCAGCCTCTGGCAATCACCCTGCCTGTGTGAATCTGACTGTGCTGGGTACCTCATGTAAATGGAACCACATGATGTTAGTTCCTGAGTGACCAATTTAGTTCACTTAGTCAAGGGTCTTCAGAGGTTATGAGATAGCATGTGCCAGAATTTTCCTCCTCTTGTATATGGAATTTTGCACTTAATGACATGTTATTCTTCCCAATAATAGAATTAGAAATAAGACACCAGAATACATCAATTTTTTGCTAAACACAGGAGTAAATGGAGATAAAGAACAGGCAATAAGCTACGTGAGATATATTAGATTCAATTCATACACAGTGGATGTCTAGAACTCTCAAATAGGATGAACCAATATCTTGATGAATGAATGAAATGGTGAGTGAGTGAATGAGAACCCTGAGCAGATGAAGTCAGAGGCCCCTTGGAAAGGTGAGGGAAAGAGGATGGCTGGGTACACAAGATGTATGCCACAGGAAGTGTGAAATGGAGAGCATCACAATTTTAATGAGAAAGGGTGTGATCCAGTGAGGAGCCCTGTGACACCAACGGTGAAGGAAGCAGCTTAGCTCCCACAGAGGCTTGTCACTGTGCCAGAGAGAGAAAGCAAGAGTTGTCAGGTGAGTGTAATGCTGACGGCTGACACTAAGTAGAGGTGTTATTGAAGGTGATCATATTGAAGGCTGACACTAAATACTGCATGTGTTTCCTTCAGAACGGGAAGAGACAGAATGGGATGGGGTCTGGAAGGAAGGTAGGAAATGAGACAGAAGTGTCTGCATTGTCACAGTCTGTGGATTAATAGTTCAAAATGCCATCTGTTTCTGTTCTGGAACCTTCCACACACCACTTAATGTCTGTTTTTTACTTTGCT